TTTGTTAAATTTTTGAAGTTAATCGAATCAAACGAAATGATTGATTGGAATAGGTCATTAACTGAATTTCGAGTTAACAAGTTTCACTTAGCATTGATTAAGAATATCCATGTTTATTCATCACTGCTACGAGCTGATATGAGAATTTGTTTATATACAAGCCGACAGGAAGTTACTAACTCCATATGTTGCTCATTGATCTATCTTATTAATGAGGAAGATATATGAGGCTTAAGAGCTGGTAATCCGATATGTATATATGAATATTAGTTTATATAATGAATTTCATTGTATAAACTATTTTATGGGAAGCTTCGTACTGTATGAAACACTTTGCATAATCATATGGACTGTTGCATATTAATAAAGTGGATGAAATCTCGAATGCTCGATGTATTTTCATTGAAATACAGCGAATGTGAATTGTTCAGAATGCGTTCGATTGCTGGTCTGTTCAATAACAAGAGATAAACAATAGGCACAATATCATGACGGCATTATTATAGCTTTGAATGACATATTGTGACAGCTTGGTAACGTAGGAACGTTACAATTAAGCTCAACATTCAGAGCAAACATTACACGTGGAGCAAAATTCATGAGCAAAATGGAATGAGAACTCGATCGGTAATGCGTCACATTTAACGACAGATTCTGGGAATGGGACCACGTCAATGGAAGCAAAGATATTTTTATGGCAGTATCAGTGAAAATTCTGCATGACAACAGATTTTTCGAGGAATCGTTTTGATAGATTTAGTTGTGGAAATTCTATTCATTTGAAAAAGACATGCCGGAAACATCATTCGAAATCATTTAAGAATTATTGTTCAAGTCAACATAAATCGGATTGTTTGTTTCGCATAACAAACACACAGGAAAAGAATGAAACGAACTGCACACAAGTATTTTTCACTGCTTTATCTTTTTCTCCTGAAACTAGAAGAATTTTTACATTGTTCATGTAATCGAACAATTGAGACATTTGTTTCGCTCCATATGATCATCAGCAATTTCTCATGAAAATATTCCGATAAAATGAAACACAGGCAAAATAAAAAATAAGATCTCATGAAAACATAGGCAAACATTTCAATGATTACTCTATTTTACTTGGGTTTTAATAAGCACCTCTCAAACGACTTCTCGTGATCATTCTGTCAGAAAATGAAAGATCGACTGAGCGATTAACTGAAACTAAACGCGTCTAAGAGCCCACATAATAAAGGAACATTAATGGGCAACGAAGGAACGACAATAAAAAAGACGAGATAAAAAGTGCGAAATGCAGTTTTGATGTCTTCTTCATCAGACTTCTCAACAGCGAATGATGATGACACGAATCGCTCGTTCCGAATACATAATGAATATCATTTACAGATTGATACAATAAGACATAAAACAAGAAAGCATCCAGCAAAACCGTCAAACGTAAAACAGTATAATATATGATGACGTGAATATATAATGTTCTCAACGGGAAGCAAACCGCAATCACATTCAACCCCACTAGCAAAATGTAATCCTCATTTATCCACCTTATAAATGCAAAAATCTCGATCGAAAAAAAAGCTTTATTTATTTGTACCTGAAATAAATCGATGCATTCATTTCTTTGCATGAACGCTGTTCTCGTTTCTAATCGTTGTTCTCATAATCGAACAAAACGCAATCTGGATAATAAAATGGATATCGCGCTGCTTGTATAATATCCATTCGTGTTTAATTTGTTTGGCAACATATTTGAAGCATTTATTTCTTTTTTCAAATGGTACATTCAGCGACTGATTCACATCGAACACACAATTGCTTGCTTGATTTGCCCCTTTTCTTGATTACTTACACTCAACTGCCGTTCTTTCATCACTACTTGCTTGCCATAGTGCAAATATTTTTTGAGCATAGCACGTAATATTCATGGTATGTGAATGTACAACAACGACAAAATATGGTGACAATATAACAATTGTGCTTGTGATAACATTAATGATAGTTGCAGTGATAATGATAACAGATGAAGTGGTCAATTCAGTAGCCTCGTTACCACATCAGCAAATATTCACTAAACAAGCACAATCCATGTCCTAAATTTTGCCTTGTCATCATGAAGCTAGTGCAGGTATCATGAAATGTCAGATCACACAACAATATGCTGTGATATTGCATGATAACATATTATTTAGTACTGTATCAGTGAAATATTCTCATACAACCTACTGATAACCACTTGCGTTTGATATGCAACAGTGATCTAA